TGTATTTTGGTATATATAGGTAAAAGATGTATTGACTTTCCAATGCTTCAGCTCCTCAAAGTTACTATGAGACCCTAGTCTTCATTCTGGTACAAGGGAAGACAAGGCACCACACTGCTTTTGATGGCAGAGATTAAAATGTAAATCCTAGACACAAAAATGCTAAACAGCAGTTCATCCAGAGAAAAAATATACATCTAATGAATCAACAACACAGCTTTTCACAACCTCTGGCTCTTACAGCCTCTCAGTGATATGCAGTGGCATCCAAAAATCCTCTTAATTTACATTATTTGAATAATAACTTTTCCTGGAGGGACACTGCACTGTATTGAGACAATCAGTCTCAAAACTTCAGAGGCAGTGGTAGTTGTATTTCTGTGATATTTACATACTCATATGGGAAGTAGGCTTCTGACAAGAAAAATTACACAGGAAGGTGCTGAATCTCTCTCTAAAAGCTGTTAGTGTCTACTGAGCCATATTTACAAATATACAAAGAAATCACAATAATGTTTTAACATACTCTGTCTCCAAGTCTGATGTTTATCCCATCTAGTTCTAGAAGTGAGAAGGTATGAACTGCTGTTTCATGTGTAAGTTCTTCTTTGACACCTTCGGGAGAAAGTCTTGACCAAGTTACAATGAATCCAACAGAGCTGTTGGCGAAAGGAATGCCAAAGGTACACCTTAGGTAGATGCTGCCTTTGATCATCTCTGCTACAACTTCAGGAACAGATGGAAGTGGTGGTGACACAGATGGAGATGATGTAGGAGCCCGGTTACCTAGTCAAACAGAAGCATGTTCTCTGCTTTTTATTCTGCTCAAAATCAGTATTGGATACAATGACATTGACATATTTTTTGCCAAATAATATACTAATAATATTTGCCTTTTTCATATGTGGAAATACTACGTAATTTCTTAAGAGAATCAAAGAAAAATATGTATCTTCCTGCTAATTATTAAATGGAGAAAAAACTCTCTATGAGCTTTTGAATACATTCTAGACAACAGGAAGGTGCTAAAGAGGGAAAAAAAAACAATCCAAAATAAACCTAAACCAAAAACATAAACAAGATAATAAAATGCAATTAATCATTTTACCAGGCAGGAGAGAGCAGTATGCAAAGGAATGTGCCTTACAGAAGAATAATTTCACTACTTACGAAGAAAGTGGGGAAAAGGAAAAGAAAAAAGGAAAAAAGAGAAAGGCTATTTAGAAAGGAACAGAATAAGCAACAATATGATTTGTGGATTCATCTTATATTTTACTCCTGAAGAATCATTCAGCATCATTACAGTTACTTTTTGACATTTTGATACCTACTCAAAATATTCTGAGAAAGAACTTTTGTAATCCAAGTTTGTCTGAAATTACCTCCAAACTGCTCATTTTGCAACAAACCAAGCAATACTGTTGATAAAATGAACCCGTTTTTATTAAAGGCAGAATATCACTAAATGCTGACATTATTGGGTCACAGATGCACAGAAAACCTGGAAAATCAAAACAAAATACTCACTGCTACAAATGCCTTCAATTTCTGTTCCCTCAGGATCACAGGTCTGTGGCCTTACATCTGAAATAACTATAAAGTATTTTTACATTTTATATTCACACACATACAGACAGCAGTGCTCTTAGATAAGAGACCAAATGTCACAAAACACTAGTTGAAGTGCAAATTTTCAGAATAGAAGTAATCTGATCCATGTATAGTTATGACAGCAACTTGCACAATGTCTTGTGCTGAAAATCATCTAGGAGGAAGAATACAGAACATTCTACCACCTCTATAACTTTTACTGCTGATGTGCTCAGCCAATACTTATACATATTGCCAGTGAATAAAAAGCTATTCTCTTTAACATATTGCCAGTGAATAAAAAGCTATTCTCTTTAATACATATTTTGCCTCTCCAAATTCACATCTGAACATTTATTTTTTAACTGTAACTCTGGACAGCAAAATTCAGTGCAGATCTGTTTTGAAAAAAAATCACCTTTCTTACAGAAGCTAATAAAAAGTGCTTGTGCACTGCTATTGTTTTGTATTTTGAATGCTATAAAAAATAAGTGGAACTTGACTTAAACATGAAAATGTCAGTTAGTCACTCTACCCAAACTACATCAGAAGGGGAGCAGTAACACTGGAAATCCCATTCACCAGAAAGAATGAAGAGAAGGCTTTACTGTTCCCTGCTTCAGTGGTGGAATAATGTTTAAATTCCTTAGCATTCCTTAGACAGATAGAAAATTTGCATCAGGTATTTACAGCTGTCAAGTCTTAAAAGCAAAAAACACTGGCCACATGGTAACCTAGATATGGAAAGCAGTACAACAGTACTATGTACTTCACATGACAACATCATCTTAGATATGTGCATTTGAACTCAAAATGTGTTTCAGATTTACAGTGTTCACTAGAGGCAAATAAGAGTTATGCTTTTTGCCTGCTTTATTTTGAGGTAGTAAAAATTTGCTAACTTGCTGTCTAGCTGTGGTTTTACATCTTCTTTGCTCACCATGTACCAAGATCCAATGCAAATTCAAGTTCTATTGTGCAGGATTTCTTCATTGTTTCAGGCAAACAGGCTTGCTGAACCCCTTGAAGAATGTCTGGACAATTGGATCTAAAGGTATAATGATGGGCCAACAAGGCACCAGAAAGCCCACTGACAGATTTGCTACTAAGCTTTTGAAAGTACTCAGTAACAGAGAATATGACTCCAAGCAATACAGCATACAATGCATGAAAATACTGCTAGTATTTTCATAATGGTGTGTTACATGAGCTAGCAAGAATTTCCTACTACATCAATTTGTCACTGTTTCACAGTATTTATAACTGTAAGGAATTAACCCTGGCTTGCTTATCTGAAAAATCTGTATGATAATGAAATACTTAAGTTTTGAGCTGTGAACACCAAAATACTTCTGCAGCACAAGCACTCACGGCAATAGGAGACATTGCAAAGGGTCTGCTTTCTCATAGAACTAATAAAATGTGTATCAGTAGAGCATTTCTGTGTTGAATTTTCTTCTAGCAACAACATGTATACACTCCAGAATGATGATAAGAATTACAACAAGAAAAATATTCCTAACAGTGCTAAATAATAATTGATATAAACACAGTTTGCTCAAGTTCTTAAGACACAATTTATTCTGATACAAAATTCTACATATGTTCAGTAATGGCTATTTGGACAGTCTGAGTGCCATGAATTACACTGAATTTTGGTACACTGAATTTTGACTTCTAGATGTGTCTTATAACCCCACCTCATTGTATGGAAAATTTAAATTCCTAAGTTTCTGGTCTTTGAAAATTAGTCAGATGCTACATGTAAGTTAAAGAGGTGTGAAGTGAACCCACCTCATCATTTCAGATCATTTCTCCTATTAATATTAAACGCAAGGATTGCAAGAAATTTTAGCATGACTATTTCCTGACGTTTCCACTCCCAAATATCAGACAGATATAGATCAAAAAAACACACACACTTAGCTGAGTTAGAACATGCATTTTCTCACCTTCTGCACAATACCCCATGCATCCTTGGGTGGGCTGCAGAAAGTAAACAAAGAAATCTCCGCAGTTCCTCACCCTGACGGGGATTCGGAAAAGACAACAGTCTTTTGAAGTGCTGAAGAAAAACTGCCACGTAGCACAAGCTGTTAACTGCGTGATCTCACCAGGCTGAGGCATGGATTCTGACTCCCTCAGAGACAACCAGACAGGGGCTTGAGTCCCACAGTGATTCATCTTCAGCACAAGAGGAAAACATCAGGAAATGGTTAATGCCACATCAAACTGTTGCTGTGCTTTAATGAGAGGTGCATATGTAATTAATTTCTCGCACAAGCTTTTAGCAACGTTGAGCCAGTGTAACAGAGGGATTGCTGACTTTCCTCCTCAAGGCTGAATATAAATGCACACAAAAGAGACTTTAGTCCTTGACTTGAACCTAGTGAATTTGTATTTGTTTCTAAAGACAGGCTATAATTTAGTGCCTAAAGTACTGGAAGCCACATCTGAGTTTTGCTCAGAAAAGCTCACAGTTGTGTTATGGCTTAGTGAGCTGCTTTGCACCATTAACCACCCTCAGTGACTGTGTGGATGCTATCAGACACAGCAAATGCAGTGTAGAGCAGAAGCACACTGAGCATCAATTAAAGGTGTTAACGCTGTCACCTTTTATCTGTCCTTTGCCATCACCTGAAGGCTCAGATAACCTAAGAGATGTGGGCAGCTGATGCATTAGAATGTTTTAACTTTGATTTGTATTCATTTAAAAGAACACAATTGATGGGATTTTAGCTTATTGTGACAAGATTGTGACAAGGAAATTTCAATTCATTAGAAAAATCAAGGCTACAATAGTCTAATGACATTTTTAGGTTTTTTAAGGAAGGAAATGTTTTAAAAAAGATGTATGTATCTCCTTAGAATATAACAGAGCTCCAAAATAAGCTACAAATAAGCTCTGAAATAAAGAATTAGTCATCTGAAGTATTAAATATTTCAAGCAACTCTTGAGTCTGGAGGCTTGCAGATGACAAGGCAACTAATATTCAATTAGCTCTGTTAGGTCAAGTGATTTTAGAAGTAATCTCTTTTCTGTGACATGATGACTTTAAAAGCCATCATGTCCACAATTACTGGGTTCATGTGGCTGCAAATCTTTATACTGCTTTCTCACGGCCTTCCTAACACACTGACCATTGCACAGTTCCAGCTTTACAACATGATAGTCCTCTTATGCTGCTACTGAGAAAATTTCTTTAGCACTGAGTGGAAATTACAGTTTTTGAGTGCTCTAAAAGGGATTTATCATCCTCTGCTATTGTCCATTCAGTGTAAAATGTCCACTACTTAAGACTTAATTTTCCAGTTAACACATTTTAATATATTCAAGTATTTAGAGAAGATAGAAACTTTGTATTGTTCCACATCAGTCCCCATAATCATACTCTGTTTTATATCTATCCTAGTGAAAAATTCTTCACCAAAATATCTATTTCTCAGAATGAAAGGATTTCTAACAATACCTCCACGCACTTGGTTGGCATCTCAGCAGGCTTATCAAAAATCATGAAGCGATACCATCCTGGTGTTAGGGAATGGTCACAGATTAAATCCTGAATAGCTGATTGCTGGAGGTGGGATGAATCAAAATCCACGCTTCGGTAAGGGCTCTGCAGGACCTGATGTCCACCAGGGGAGCATTCTAGAACTGTGGAGCAAGAGCATTTCGAGTATCAAGATGGAATGCCTAACAAGTATTTTAGAAAAGATGTTAAGCATTTTTAAAGGAAAATAAGGATATGTTGCAATATTATGCAAAACTAATTTTATTAAAGAATATATTGAAGTTTTAGTAACAAGAACTTTTCATGTTAGCACTCTTGAAATTTAACAGAATTCATTATGTCATAACTTTCTCTCTTTTAGTGGACAATAAATGCAGTAATAACCACATAGGCATTTACCCTGGATGCAAAACCAGTCGGAAGGCATAAGTTTATACAAATTTTATCTGGATTTTGATTTTCTAGTTCTACTGATATTTATGAAACCTGAACAAAAATGAAGTGTCAGATATATAAAAATATAAAAAACATACCTCAGGAAGAAGGTTTATCCAAAGGTCTTTTCAGAATAGATTACCACTTTGCAGAGCTCCTCTGCATGAAATTAGTAATTCCCTCAAATGCATGAGAGATAGTTGGATAGTTGCATGCAGTTTGCATATATACATGCAGAATATAGCAAAAGTGTTTATTAAAATGGGTAGATACTTGATTACACATTTTAAGTCAATTTACATGAATGACATACTAAATTATAATAAAGAAACACAACTGCCAAACACCTTTTTTGACATCTAAGTAACCTTGTGGCCTCGAAAAATTTCTCAAATTTTCTGATCGATAAAATGATCAGAATCCAAATCAGTCTTTATCACAATTTTTTTTGTTTGTTTGGGTTTTTTTTGTTTGTTTGGTTGGTTTTTTAATTTTTTTTAATGCAAACTCATTTAGCAATAAAGCAGAATGCCAGAGCTTCTGAGTCTGATCTGGCACATGAATTGACTTCTGTCCAAGACAGTGTCAACAAAAGTTCTGGCTAACAGCATATTTACATGCAACATACTGAATAGTCATTCTTGTTCAGGAATGTGCTTGAGAAGTGAAAGAATGGAAAAATAAAGTAAGGGAACATTTATATATAAGTGACATGAAAAGTATACCTATCTATTTACCTTACTTTTAAAAATGGACACCAACTGATGCTAATTAATTATTTTACCAGAATTTTGGGTTATATTGAGTGATACAGTGAATCTTAATTTTTGCCTTCATTATGCTATTGTTGAATTTAAAGATGCAGGAAAGCTCTCTAATGTTACATTTTGAATATGAATGCTCCAGCTTTTGGTCCCAGGTTTGTCTGTATTTATTGCATTTTTTGCATGGTATAATTGTGTCACTGATTAGAAACATTTTGGTTTATTAATATAAGATAGTTTACTATTTTCCACATTTTTCATGTCATTCTAGATAACCACAATTATAAAACAGTTTCAAAATCAGGTAATTCCCCACCTTTAAATGGAGAAGATGCCCTAGTGAAAGAATACACTTTATCTTTCTCAGCACAGTATGAGAATCCTACAGTCTTTCAAAGACTAAAGATTTAATCTGATATGGCTTTAGGCTACCCAGGCAGGTAACAATAGCTTTATCTTCTATCCTCTAAGGGCAGCTGGAAGTCAGTGTGATTGACTGTGCCACCACTGTGTTCCTGAGTTTCCTGTAGTAGCCTGTGGGCTACTACATGTCCATACAATTTGACCTTACAGGGAACTTACCCTTCACTGGAATTTAGAGAAAAGCCCTTGAAGAATCACAGGTCAGTCATGTGTGTTATTGAAATGTTTTCCAAGCAAGCTACAGCACAAGCAGTTTACGAACCATGATGAAAGTTTCTTCCTGTCCTCTATTTTTTACTGGAATTCTCCCTTTCATACAGCACCCTCATTAGTTTTCTTTCCTGTAACTGAATCACTCCTGAAACAATTAATATCTGTTATCTTCTACATTAATATATCAGGCTAGACATAAGACAAGTCTTTATTTTCTTTTCCTCCACAGTTTAATTAGATCATCATTTGATAGATCTCTAAAACAGCTGACTGTAGCCACTTGTAATAGGGTTATAAATCCTACTAAAGATCAAATTATAAGTTTCTTATTATTATGCACATCACTTTAAAAGGCCATCCAGCTCTTTATGAACCCAGTGTATCCTTTTCTCCTTTCTAGAAGTAGGCTAATATTGCCATAGTTATTGTTTGGAAATCTTATGTTGTGTAACACTGATTTTTTTTATTTTTCATTCTGAGGAACAACTGAAAATATCTGTCATCATCAGTTAGACAAATAAAAAAAAACTTTTTTACACACCTGAGTGTAACTGAAGTGCTGCCTAACTTCAGCAACAGCAGAAAAAATAGTTATTGTATTTATGGATAGACAAACAAAAAATTAATATCATGATCTCTACAAAAATGTTACCCCTGCATGACAGATCTGCTCCAACAAAAGCAATTAAGAGGGAGCTGGCTATGTTTACCACTGAAATAATTATTTCCTTATTCAGGATGCCTTAAGTAAAACCAGATTTTGATATAAGCATTCTTTCAAATATTATTCTCAGAATGATGGATATTGACTTTGCTGAAATGCTCCGGAAAAGCTTTGCCTGTGTCTAACACCCAGCAATTTTATAGAGTAGTTTGGGTTGGGAGGGACTTTAATGATCATATAGTTCCATCTTCTAGGAACAAGGAGGGAGACCTTTCAGTAGACCAGGTTGCTCAGAGCTCTGTTTAAGCTGACCTTGAACATTTACATGGATGGGGCAGCCACAGCTTCTCTGGGCAACCTGTTCCAGTGCCTCATCACCCTCACAGTAAAGAATATTTTTCTAATATCTAATTTAAACCTATTCTCTTTCAGTTTGAAATCATCACCACTTGCCCTGTTACTACACACCCTTGTAAATAATTTTTCTCCCTCTTTCTTGTAGGCTTCCCCATGATTCAGATCTAACAAAATTATAAGGAACTGAAAACAGGTTCTGATAGCTTTAAAGTGCTATGGAAAGTGCAGGCTTACCTACCAGCTCTGTCCAGGATGTGAGGAACATTAAATTAGGGGAATATTTCTGTGCTACTGGTGACTTGACTTCATCCACAATAACAAAAAAACCTCACATGTTCTGACATGAAACAGAAAACTCATTTAAGTTTGAACAAAATTTAGCATTTACTCATGATTGTTCCTGACAAAAAAGCTTTCCATATATATGGAAATATTTTTCAAAATTATTTTATGGATGTTTAAATGTATTAGTGATTTAACAACTTTCATTTTAAATATTTGCTAGAGAATAGTGAAAATCCAATTATAAAATACATGAATACTTGAGAAATAAGATCATGATAGCCAGTCTCTTTTGTAGATTGTACACCCGTGTTTTCACTTAAACTAGAGGAGATACACACAAAAGGTTGTCAATAGATTACTAGGAGAGACTTGTTTGTGTAAAGTTTTAACTCTGAGTTTACTTTATTTTATCATATTCTGTGCTCCTTTCCACAAACACCTTATATATATACACTGCTCAAGGCTCTCTACCTTTCTTCATTTTGTCTCTCTGCACACCAGGAATAATTTGATTCCATATTTGCTTTTTCCTGACTGTCTTCAGGATTAGTGCAGTGAGCTTTGCTTTGATCCATCCCAGACTTCCTTGGTCCTGATGGATACTGAGAAATGTGAACCTAAAATGCAACATCTTAAACACATGGATAGCCTTGTGCTAGAGGATGAGCCTTTGGGGAGAGACACAGATGAAATCTCTGCAAACACGTTGAAGTTTCTACCATGGCTACTGTAAACTGAGTCACATAATACCTCTGAACACCTTAACCAAAAATCAAAGAGGTTTCTGAGGTCAACACAGGAGCTCATTTGCCACAAAGAGATATGAAGTGGCTCCTGATTATTATCTCTGAGGCACTGGGGTGGAAAATGAGTTCCACAACTTCCTGTTCACATCTCTATTCCATCCATGTGCAAAGAGGGGTCAATGATTTTCTACCTGTCCAGCCAGAATGCTTCCAACCCAAAGGAACAGCAAGGAACTGAGTACTGCTGGGTACAAACTGGAGTAGAGAAGACAAAAGGAGTCAGAGCAGAGCACAGACAGGCAAGGGTAGAGTGGCAGCACATGCAATCCGGTTCCTTAGGTACAAGTAGCTTATTAGTGTATATGTCCTGCTGCCCAAAGGCTGCAGGATAAACTAACAGTGTTTTTAGTAAGTGCCCACTGTGAACATGAATGTGTTTTTTCTTGCATCTACTGACTGCAAAGGATGCAGCATCCCAAGGCAGAAATCAGAACTATGACTGAATTTAACAAAAGTATTTCTGGATCTAAACTCTTCCAAAATAATAAAATAGAAAAAAGTAAAAAGCTCACTTTTTGGAAGAAGTTATCCTGGAACAACTTTTTCAAGTAATACTTTTAAAGGAAAACATAAAAATTACTGTAAAAAATGCCATTTTCTTTGATGAGACCTATAAAAAGAACATGATCAAAAATGCTGTAGCAATGACACTATTGCAATTTCATGGAACAGGAACACGGTGATTCCAATTCATGGACCAATGAAGAAAACACGCACAAATTAATACATCTTTACAAATAACCTCATCAGACTGGATGTTAAAAAACTTTTCAGCCACTTCTGTTCACACCCTATGAGATGCTTTGCAAAGCTAGTAAATAATCACGTAACCTTTATGAAAGTGTAAAACATATGTTTGCAGAACGTTTTCTAGTAGTTCTCATTGCAATACATATTTTGCAATATCTACTACTTGATGTGGATTTTCCATCCGAAATTTGAAGCTATCCCACGGGTTTAGCAGAGGTCCCAGGTACGGACGTGCCAAGGCACAAGGAGAGAGGGTGGGAGACCAACAGAGGAGAGCGCAGCCCCGCTCTCGGAGTTCCCCTGGGCAGGTTTTCCCCACGTCGCCGCGGGGAAGGGCAGCTCATGCCCGGCAGGTACAGAGCTCAGCCGTCCCAGCGTACCTGGGCGCGCCCCGCAGCCGCCGCCCGCCCCGGCCCTCCGGCGGGTCACCGGCCCTCCCGGTGCCGGGGTCCCTTACCTCTGCGGCGGGCCCCGGCCGCCGCCAGCCAGCCCAGCACGGCCGCGCCGAGCCAGAGGCGCGGGGCTGCGGCCGCGGGCATCGTTCCGCTCCGCTCCGCTCCGAGCCCGCCGCCCCCGTGCCTGCGGCCGCTCCGCGCCCACCGCGCTCCTCCGCGCAGCCCCTCCCTCGGGGCCTCGGCCCGCCCCCTGCCCGGCACGGCACGGCACGGCACGGCACGGCACGGCCCCGCCGGGGTCCCCGCGGGGGCGTCCGTGCCCCGTCCCGGCTCTGGGGCCGCCGCTGTAGCCCGGCAGCTGTGGCGTCTCCTGCCCCTGAGGCTCCCTCGTGGGGATTCGCTGCAAGAACACGAACGAAACCGTCCTTGGTTCTTGTCGAGGGCTCTGTGTCCATATCCCAGAGAGGTGCAAACAGAACCAAAGCAGATCACCATCATGAGCGTTGTCCTCTAGTCCTCCAACCCAGAACGGTATTTTTTTCTGATGTACAGTAAAATGCTGAAGAGGAGCTGGGTTCAAATTGGTCCTTAATAGGCCACCAAGAGTGTTTTGTATTTCTTTAAACTTTACTATATGTAACCTTCATTACCACTAATGCAGCCTGAGTTTAGCAAATATTTAACAGTTCCAAGAGCCAAAGCTTCAAAATTTGCTAAGAGATGCTCCTCTTCAGAGATGTCTGCCAGAGGACAAAGAGCAGGACAAATCCCAGCATTTAAGATTTGTCAGTGCTGCTATTTTCCACTGCCGTCACTGAACTCCTTTGCACACACCAAGCAATGCAGCAGTCCACAGAAATGTTTCACAATCTGTAGCATGTGTAGGCCTAAGTCTAAAAAATCAAAGTTGATGACACTAAAACACACCTTACTGGTATCCACTGAACATCTGCCAGGCTACAATGTCAGCAAAGACTGCTTCCATGGGGTACTGCCCTGGATGGTTCTTTGCAGGGCAGCTTTCCCTGCAGGAAGAGGTGTCAGGGCTTGGAGTCAAGGCAGAGGCAGAGCAGCATTGTTGGGGTAACCTCAGTCATCCTTTGCTCACATACCTTGAGCTTCTTCATTGCAAGAAACAGTTCAGCTCCATGGCAGTGAGTTTTTAAAAGGAATCGCCTGCACAGCCTGAGAATTGCATCTGGTGTCTTGAATTCCTCTCAGTTGTCTAAGGAAGATACTTTTGTCCTAAAAATTCAGGGAGATTTTAACAATGTTTTCTTGATTGTTTACTCAACTCTCTCAGTTATTTGTCAGCAAATACGACAAACTTTTATCCTGAGCTAATGCATATGACTGACATTAGTTCGGGCTTCTCTTTTTTTCCCCAAACCACAAGTTTATAAAGAAAAAATGATGATTGAAAGAGTTATTTTACAAAACTAGTTACAAAGTCAAGACATAGAAAGAGAGATATGAGATATGATAAAAGTATACATTGTGCTACTTTTTGACCCCTGCTAGTCATGATAGAGTGGTATTTACGGAGGATTAACACCTTTTATCATGGATCATTCGGGGATAGAAAGAGGAGGCAATAATGGCTGCTGGAGCACAGGCACCTTTCATCTTTTCTAGACTGGTTTTCCTCTGCCAGCTCCCTCTGCTACTATCAGTCTTGTAGCCTCACAGTGACAGCAGAGATAGAGCATATTGTGGTTAAAAGAGCTGTCAACTTGCCAAAGTAGTACTTGGCACTCATGGTAACAGAGTTGTGTCAGTGACAGTGAATTTATGGAGAACTAAAGTAATTCTAGGACAGTCTCAGGCTTATAATAGGAGAATAAGGCTTTCCAACAGGTTAAATTTCAGATAGTTTCTGTCAGTAATTTCCATATTTAATTACTTAATTTACTTCAATTAAATAAATAATAGGCTAGGTAAAATTGTGTTGCACTACTGAAAACACCTCTTTCATTTACAATGGAATGTGAAGTCAAACTGAAATTTTGTATCTGTATACTATTAAAAAGCAGTATGTTTGTGAGGAAACCCAAGAGTGTTGAATGAAGAATTTAAGATACTCTCATGGTTATGTAGTCCAAGTCATTGCTTAATATTCTACTGAAACCATGGCAGAAAGAAATATCAATTCTAGGGAGCATTTAGATGCTGCAGCACAAAGCAGCATTTCCCAGGGGATTTTATGATTAACAATGAACAAAGAAAGATTTAATGTTGGTTTTGAAAATTATTCCAAAGCTAACTTAGAGTTTAGTAATGTCAGACTGTTTGGAAGCTTTTAAATATATATTTATTTTAAGGTGGATTCTAAAGTCCTGTCTATGAATAAATTAAATTAATTATTTGAACAAAGCCTGAGCATAAGTGCTTTTGCTGACTCATGACTGTCTCTTAAGGCAGGGAAAAGCACAGTGATAAATTGAAGAAAAAAGATGTGTTGGATGACAAGGAACACAACTTGGGCAATGCTGAAAATAGAGGTAAAAATTCAGATAACAAAGAAGGTGGCTCTGCTGATGCTAAGTTCTTGGATCTGCAACTAGATTGTTCTGGGTTAAGGGTTATCTGCATAAGTTCATGACTGTACAGCTCCAGCATGTGTGTATGGGTAATAAGAATCCCAGAAAAAAACGTCCAAGGGAAAAAAGGGAATTTTCTCACAAACGCAGCCAACATAGCAACTTTGTCATCTGACACTTCTACTAACATGCCAGTGGGATGTTTGTAGCAGTACACCTCAGATCATTAACTTAATGTATACAAAGTACATGTCTATACGTTATTTAACAAGATGTCATTATCTCACACTGCATTTAGGGGAACAGTCCGGAGTGAGCAGCAGCCAAGAGATTAGCAGGTTGATTAAAGACTTTTTTTTGGTAACTAAGCTAAGAAGAACAACCAGCAGTGTTTGCCAAAATGTGTACAAATAGATGTGCATAGCTGCTCAGGTGTGAACTGAAAATGAAAGATCACCTTGAGTTTTAAAAGTAGCTGTTTCTAGAAAAGCAACAAATCTTTTTTTTTTCAGTTGTATCCAAACCCTCAACTCGAAGGTAAATAAGGGGATCACCTAAAAGAAAGGCAGCACTTGTGGTAGGCTCCTTGCAATAATAAGTAATTAGTGTGAATGGTAGGGTACAAGCAGGGGGAAGCAGAGGGTGAGAGCTGAAGATAGCTGGGTAGGTGGATGCTGTCCTGAACAACGAATCCCCAGGTGTGATGCTTTGGGGTTTGCTCGGTCTGACATTCTAAAGTTCTTAGCCAGATTTTGTAAACTCATGTAAACACTTAGAGAAGAGTTTGATTAAGCTTGAGCTAAAATTGCCCACTATATCTAATTAATGATAAACCTTTTCTTCCCAACTGTGTAGCTAAGAGTACAAATGGAAGTCTTTCTTAAATGAATCTTTCATGCTGTACCATTAAGCATGTGTGTAGCGTAAGGCAAGGTAAATCTGAATAAGTCTTTAAATCTATGTTGCTGTATTTGTTGTCTGTGCAGAGATAGAGCATGGATGACAACTCCAAATAAAGTTGTGAGCAGAACTTGGAAGCTGGGAGAAATTTCCCAGCAAAGCTTCAAAGGGCTATTATAGTATTGCCAAGTGCTGAATGTTTGGAAAGAGTTGCCTTCAGCAGATAATACCCCTCCTGTAAGGAGCAGATGGCTGAGAGATAGCCTGCAGCCCTGGGCAGATCCAGAAGTATCAGAAAGGGATGAGTTTTCTTGCATTTTCCCCTTAATGTTAGTAGTTCTTTCTTTGTGTAAAAATAATTTCTTTTTGCTTGTACCAGTTCATGTATGTAAATGGTAGGTGAACTCATCCTTTCCAAAGCAATAAATTGTTAACATTCTTTGTCTAATCAATTCTGCCCTTAAAGTCAAATTCCAATCTTCCCTTCAAATTGTAGGTTGTGTGACTTTTAACTTAGCTAAGGTTCATTTGATTTAAAGACATGGTTTAGCAGCTCTGAAGCTAATGTCCTGAAACATCACTAAAACATAAGAAGACACACTAAGACACATTGCCTATCCCAGTTCAGAATGAGATATTTGATTCTATCCCCCTTCCTATCTTTGACACCAAATAAATAGGAACAGAGAATAGGTAATGGTCATGTGAACTTATTAATTGTGGTCATTCTGTGGCTAACATTGGAACATCACAAGAGATTAACTTTACTCATGTTTATTCTGCTGGCGGCATTTTCAGAAAACTGAGGGGCTTTTGAGTGACATTTGTTTTCCAAAATGCTTTTAAAATTCGTCAAGGGTATTTTTTAAACTGCCATGTAAATGTACTCAGCATTGACAGTCTGTTTAACTTTCAGAATAATGACATCTTTAGTATATTTAAGTCCCTAATTCTCTTTTATATTTGACCTCTTGTATATACTATATTTGACTTACACAGTAAAGGTCTTCAATTTAAAAATCTAATGTAATTTAGCTTTGATAAGCAGTATAAGAGTTAATGTAAATCATGGGAGATCTGTCTCCAAGAGTTAATAAGAGTCAAATAAAATCAGTGTTAGGCTTTCTATTAACTTCAATCATCTTTGGATCAGCCACTTACTCTTTTATTTTTCTCAACTATTTTTATATCCTTAATTCATGATCTGTCAGCTGTATTTACTCAGAATGTGCCAGAATAGTTTGAAGTCCAGGAAGTCCCTTGGCTAGTGGAATATTAATGGAATAATCTTTGTTTTAAGCATACTGAAATGTAGCACCCGTGTGTAATTACATTGATAAGCTGAGTATTATACAATTCTCAACTACTATTTCATCTCTTTCTGTCTCACATGCAGTTTATCTCTGTGTGTGAACAGCTCACTTAGTAGCAGTTTTTAAAAAGAAGGACACCATGGAATTAATTCTTTACCCTATATAGAATAAATGCTACTTGAGTAAGGTGCAAAACATTGATCCTATAGTTAACGGTATACTTCATACTCAGTCTTACTGGTTTTCATCTATTTGTATTTGCACCACTATTTCTAATATTTGTGAAATAAAAATTAACATTTCTGGGTAAAAGTCTTGACTAAGTTATATGGTCTTCTAAGATGCAGATGAGAAAAAATATTCTTAAAATATGTAACCTGTGCAGATGAGAAACAAAGAATATTTTTCTCAAATGCTTAGATTACCTTTGTTAGTACCAAAAGCTTTGATCATGTAGACACTAAAATGTGTTTTAGTAAAATCCCACAAGAAGAAGGGGGATTAAAAACCTCACAAATCCCACATCCTAGTGCTAAAAGCTGTGTTTCTTCTTTCTGGGCCTATCATTTTTCCTCCTAGCTTTTACTTTATATGTGGGAGCAGCTTCCTGGGTAGTGATTCAGTAAGGTCACTAAGCAGCCACCTCTGGCTGTGTCCAAATACAGACTTGGCACCCCTGATAAAGGGCACATCCTACACACAGTCCACAGCTATTTGATAACCCTAAATATGAAAACAAATAACC